TTTTCTGATGAAGGGTCTAGGCCCGAAACGTCAGCCTCTCTGCTCCTGTGATGCTGCTTGGCCTGCTGTGGTCATCCAGCCCTGCACCTTATTGTCTGTTAAGTTTATTGGATTGAGTTTGATGCAGAAGTTTATATTTTTTTCAAATCGCTGTCTCACTTGTTGAGTGTGCCTATTTAGTCATATTTGCTTGTATTTGTGTAGTTCAACAAAATAAGGTGAAGATTCTTTTGATGTTTCAATCTAATCCCAACACCTCTCTGATCATTAAAACCGAAACACCCAGAGAAGATCACCTCTACTCGTAATCTGTTAAAGGAAATGTGAAAAGTGGTATAACCTGCCTCTCACCCCCAATCTGTTATGAAGGAGAGGCTAAACGAAAGAAATCCCTGATACTCACTTCATAAGCAACAAGCAACAATTTATTTATCTAACTCTAACTGTGAACAAATTTACAGAACTACTAACAAACCAAACAGTTTCCCCCTTAACTATTGATTGTTCCCGAATAAAACAAAATTCTAATGGTATGCTGTTCCAAAAAACACAAGTGCCACTTATATAAAGCAAAGTAATAAGAAAAAAATAAATTAAAAGTTAGTCTCTCAAAATTGCAGCCAGGATAAGTCTTCCAGAATGTTCTTTGCCTTCTCTGCTGTTTTTCATTCAGGAACACCTTTCTCCGTCAAATTCTTGTGTCAGGAATATATTAGCTAAGAGTGCCATTGTGCCTTTATTTAGATGGTGCATACTCTGAGAGCTGAGAGATTTCTGTGCGAGCCAGTGATATTCTCTTCAGATGGCAGTTCACTCTCACCCCGATTTTCAAATGGCCACTTCTTTTGTACCCTTGAATGTCTGTCAGTTTTTTTTACAATAGGATTGGTTCTAGGTTGTCAAAAGTATCAGACTTAAATTTAATTTTGTATCTGGGGCCTGATATAAAATAATTGTGTGAAGTCAAAAACCTGTTATCTTGGTAAAAATGCTGCTTTGCCTGCTTGAAGTACAGCCTTTGGATTCAATGTTTCAATTTCAAGAACTCTCTTTGCATCTGCTGCTCCCTGCGGACAGGTTTTTTTTAATCGTCAAGCCTAAAAAACACATCATCTTTTAAAGGGACCGCACAATCTTCCCCCTATCATTTTACAAAATCAAATACTCTACCCAACTTTGCAACTTACTTTCTCCCCCTTGGTTCTTGCGCGTATTATATTCTTAAGGGGAAGTAATTGCCTAGTGGCTTCATTTCTAGACTACTAATCCAGAGACCCAGGCTAACGTTCTTGGGACCAGGGTTCAAATCCTACTATGGCAGATGGTGATGTTTAAATTCAATATAATATCTGGAATTAAAAGTATAACGATGACCATGTTGTCAGTTGTTGGAAAAAGGCATCTGATTCACTAATGTCCTTCAGGGAAGGAAATTGCTGTCCTTCCCTGGTCAGTGCTGCATGTGACTCCAGACCTATTTTAATTAGAGATGAGCAATAAATGTTGACCTTGCCAGCAATGTCCACTTGTCATGACTAGAGAAAGGAAATGATGGCTCAGTGGTTAACACTGCTGCCTCTCAGGTCTAGGGACCAAGGTTCAATTCCTGCATCGAGCAACTGTCCTTCTGGAGTTTGCATGTTCTCCCTGTGTCTACGTGGGTTTCTGCTGGGTGCTCCAGTTTTGTCCCACAATTCAAAGATATGCAGGTTAGGTGGACTGCCAATGGTGCCCTGGGATGTGTAAATTAGAGGGATGAGTCTGGATGGGATACTCTTTGGTGGGTTGGCATGGATTCGATGGGCAGAATGGCCTGCTTCTGAACTGTAGAGATTCTGTAAAAAGACAGCGGTTCATCAAAGCCAGATCCTAACAGCAATCCAGCTTGTCCATTATTTTTGCAACTCAATGCTGTGAGCTGTTCCTTTTGTCAAATGGGACAGTGCTATTCTGAGGACGCTATTGTGCACTGAAATGTCTGCAGTTCAAGTAGTAACGTTTTAGTAACACCAGTGAAGTTGAATGATGTAAAACTCGAAACGCAAAGTGAGGTGACAGAATTATGATAGGAATATTGGTCGATCCTGGTGTTAAGATTGGTATTCTCCTTTTCTGTAGGTAATCTGTCCGATTGTATACTGCAGTATTGTCTACTGGATGACATCCCAGCCTCCCGAGGCTTCACGCTTCCTCTTGTTTGCCAGTCTGGCCACAGCAACTGCATTGGTGGCACAGTCACTTGGACTCCTGATTGGAGCTGCATCCACATCTTTACAGGTACTGGTCTGCCTTCATGCAGAAACTACACCGAGCGACCACTTCAAAATCATCAATCAGAGAATAACACAGAGGCCATTCAACCCATCAAGTCTGTTTCAAGAGCTTTCAAATTAGCTTCTAACACTTGTATACTTTCTCCAAAAAACTGCAAATTCTTCCTTTCAGGTGTTTACCCTGTTGCCTTGTGAAACTGACAATTAAATCCACTTCCTGTACCCTTTCAGGCAATCCAATCCAGATGATCACAACCCTCTGCATTTTCTTAAATCTTCCTCTCAGTTCTGATTCTTTTTGACAATCATCTCATGTCTGTGTCCCCTCTTTATCAACTCTTCTATCATTGGAAATAGTTTTTCCTTATGTACTCAATCAGAACTTGCAGTGTTGAATGCTATGCCTTTTTGGGTGCTGTAACTTACCAAGGAACTTAGTACAGTGAGGGGAACTCAGGTGGAATTTTTATTGTGTAGGAAATAAAGGTAAAGCTGCCATAGACCCAGAGGGGCTTTTGAATGAGCAACAGATGACTGGTGATGGTTTAACCTGAGAGTCACTGTGTCTCAAGTGAAGGGAGTCATTGAGAACAGCAATCCTTCATGGCACCCCTTAGTTGGTGTGGGTCTTGAACCCCATGCTGCTGGCATCACTTTATGTTGCAAACCATCCGTTCAACCAGCTGAGCTGACCAGTCCCCTAAGGTTAAGTCAGCTCACAGTCTTTAAATTTTGCTTTAAGCTGGCGAAAGTCCATGGTCTTCAGTTGTTGTTTCCTGCTATCTGCCATCTGAAACCACATAAAGATTTGGAACCTATAACCAACCAAGCAGTTGGCGCAGTTGCAGAGTGTGTGGGAGATTAGTCGGGTTGGGTTTATGACTGAACCAAGGATACATGTTCCCATGCAGAGAAAAACTCATGAGAGAGGGAGGTGGGAGGGGTAAGTCAGGCAGGGGGTGGAGAGTCGGAGGCGATGGGAATAGAGGAAGATGGTTGGGGCAGGGAGGGAAATCTAGGCCAACGAAACATGAAACCCCAGGGGTGGGGAGAGTTTGGAGGGGTTGTTGGCACTGGTAGTCGGTCTAGGCCAGGGCCGAAGGAAGGGTCAAGTCCAAGAGGGGAGTTGGTTGAGCCGGTAGTATTTATCACACCTAGGGGTCGTGCAGCACCCATGCCCTTAATGCATAGGCGGTTCATCAATTTACTCTCTATCAGACTTCAACTGTGATTGTCATAATTTTGTGAGCTATTCATTTACATGCTGTGTTTCCCCTCTTTGTTCACTTCCAGGTTGCTACCTTTGTGGGTCCAGTCACTGCCATTCCTGTGCTTCTATTCTCGGGATTTTTTGTTAGTTTTGACACCATCCCCACCTACCTACAATGGAGCTCCTACGTCTCTTATGTAAGGTACTTTTTCTTTCTTTTTTTGAAGTCGTTGTAAAAATGGGACTTCTCCCTCTCCTTCGTATTTGCAAAGTTCCAAATCCTGCCTCCTCAATTTCCAACCAGAAACTATGAAGGTTAAGCCAGCCTACTCCGACTGTTTCATTAGAGAGACAACTGGTGGTGGTTTAACCAAAGGGTTACCACTCTTCAGGTGAAAGGAGAGCCCTCAGGCAGGGTTGGAATTGAACCCATGCTGTTGGTGAGACTCTGTTTTGCAAACCAGCTGATCAGCCAATAGCCAGGACAGGAGGAAGAAGTCCTGAGAAGCTCCAGTAACAGAAGGTTATGGAAGAGGAGTTTATGTTATGCTATGTTAAAGGCAGTATCTAAATGCAAGTTGTCACTTTGTTCTTGCGATTAGGGTGGGAACCGTGCCCAATTTTCTCCCCATCTCCAGCCCTCTGCAAATAGAAGGATGCTGAGGTAAACTGTACTGATGATAACTGATGCACCATTGACCCTTGGGTTGCACGGTGGCTCAGTGGTTAGCACTGCTGCCTCACAGCACCAGGGACTTGGGTTCAATCGGGTGACTGTCTGTGTGGAGTTTGCACATTCTCCCCGTGTCTGCATGGGTTTCCTCCGGGCGCTCTGGTTTCCTCCCACAGTCCAAAGATGTGCAGGCTAGGTGAATTGGCCATGCTAAATTGCCTGTAGTGTCCAGGGATGTTTGGGTTAAACACGGGGAAATGCAGGGGTAGGGGAATGAGTCGGAGTGGGATGCTCTTTGGAGGAGCAGTGTGGACTTGTTGGGCCGAATGGCCTGTTTCCACACTGTAGGGATTCTATGAGAAGCTGGCTGTTTTGCCCATCAGATGTATGCCATAGTTAATGCTGTACATGAGCTTCTTCCAACCCACTTTATATAATCCAGTCAGCAAATGCTTTCTCCCTTATATGTTTATCTACAGTTAAGGTTCAGATATTTGGGTTATAATGAAAGTGTCAACTTATGCCTCCATGTGGCTATTTAGATGGTGGTGTCGAGGTGATCACATGTGATGATGGGATAGTTAAAGCTTTCCACACAGGCAATTTTGGTGAGATCCATGACATAACATGAACAAAACTCACTTCTGTAGCAATTGACTTTAAAAGAGTAACATTGACATTTGTTGATTCTTTCTTACTGATACAGGTATGGCTTTGAAGGTGTCATCTTGTCAATATATGGACTGGACAGAAAAAATCTGACCTGCAATACTGGGTTTTGCCCTTTTAAGGAACCAAAGAAAGTTCTGCAAGTGATGGATGTGCAGGACTCAAAACTTTACATGGATTTCATCGTCCTTGGTATTTTCTTCATTATCTTGCGTTTCTTGGCTTACCTTGTTCTTCGATATAAAGTCAAGTCCGAGAGATAGAGAGAGAGCGCACTGCAGGTGAATATTCTGCAGCATTCAGAATATTGTCTATGAGCTGGATTCATTCTGCCGAACTTATGTTTTGGATGTGGCTGTATTGAGCCCCTCAGCCATGAAATGGGCATCAAAGCCAGAGTGATTATTACAAGACTGAATCTCCAAATGTCACGATGGCTTGTGATGGGCCTTTTGGTTTTAAAGATCTTGTTTTTGCTGCTGCAGTTACTTTATTGAAACTTGATTAATTCTTCCCCATCCAGAGAACAATTTATCAAAAAAAATACAACTTTTTGGAAGTTGTAAATGAAATAATTCTGCATGGGCTTTCTGCACACTGACAATGCCGGGATATTACATCCAAAAAGTTACATGTGTTTCAAGAAATCCTGTTTGTCAACTATAGTTATATGTTCCTCTAAAGTATATGTTTTTTTAAAATAAATTTTGATTTTCAATCAGGGCTGTTAATAAGCACAGTTTTTGTAGAGCAATGTATGCTTTATCTCTCTCCTGGAGCATGTTAGCTTATAGCATGTCTTGTCAAATTATAATAATTATAAGTATAAACAAAATCAAAACAAAGCAGTATCAACCAAAACTGTTATATTAGGCATTGTGGAAAGTTTATTTAGTTTCTGAAAATTCAAAAGTATATTTAAAAACAAGTCTTGAAAGTGTTAAACATTTAAAATAACTGTAGTGTAATCATTTTTTACAGAATTTTATATTACTCCTATTGATTTTTTGGGTACTTGGAGATTTCCTTCCTTCATTATTTAAAAAAAATCAAAATTACTAATGCATTCCTCTTACTCCAAACTACAATTTTTCTGATCTCAGCTTCCTGACCATTATTTTGCATCACTATGGTATTGTGACAGAAATTCAGCCCCATTTGTGCATCTGTATTTAATAACATACCAATGTTTATATTTACCACAGTGATTATCATCTTAAAATATACCAATTCTATAAAAATTTAGAACATCTGGTTAAAAATGAGCTATATCTGAGTATTTGCCATATTTTAACTCAACTTTAGTCATTGCTGTATAGTTCCTTCCACATGATGTTGTGGTAATGTCCTCATGCAGTACAGCCTAGATCCTTCATAAATGCATTACAAAGCCTTGTAAGGCATCCTTGTCGTCCAGTGAGTGGGAACAATCAGAAGAATCGTGAGTGAAATTGGCTTTTGACTCAGATGAGTGCAGGATTTTCATTTGGCAGTGAGAAGAATTCTGATATGCATCCTGCAGAACAAGAATGTTTTTTTGTTTCAGGTGCAAGTCCTTTTCATACATGTTTCTGAATTTTATGTTGCATAGGTGTTAATGACGAGTTATTCAGAGTTTGCATTGAAATTTAATCATCAAACTTGCTCTGTAGTCTGGACAAATCTATTGCTTGACTTTGTCCTAAATTATCTGTAAAGCATATCCAGTCCCCATGGTACAGTCTTACTTATCTCAAATACCGAGTAAGGAGCCAAGTGCATTCACCCTAATGAGAAGATGAGTGTCACGGCGTATGTCCTTCTCCTGGAGACTCACCTTGACAGCAATTATAATCAGTGTTCCACTGTGACATGTGGATTGACAATGTTTCTCCTTCAAACATGTTCTAGTCAGTATAATGTGACACCTCCATGAAAATATGAAAACCGCAGTGATATCCTCATTTTGTATTATACAAATGAACCTCTCCAGAAATATCAATGCGAAGCTTAAACTGACACAGTACTGTAGTATTTTACAGTCAATGACTTATTGAACCTTTGACCCCATTGTTGTAACAGGCAATCATGTGTCAGACTGTTCGCTTGTACAGTCTTAACTTTTTAATTTCTGTACAATTGAGGCTAACTTCCCTATCAAAGGCTCGCTCTCTTCAGGCTGGATCTCCTGCAGTCACTGTGAAAAAGACAAGACTTGCATTTCTGTAGCGCCTTTCGTGACCACCTGAAGTTTTATGCTGCTTTGGGGCCAGTTAAGAACCTTTGAAGATTTGTTCCTAATGCAGCGCAGAACATCCTGCACAACTTTGATCACTCACTTTGTCTTTTTGTCTGTAAATATTTTTTGTTGCTAGGCTCAATTCTCCTGTATTTCTCCACCATTTATACTTTATTTGAAGTTTTTATATCACTTCCCTGGGGCCCCACTTGGATGTGAAATCCTCATCCTTTCTCTCCAACATCAAAAATTTGATTTGAGGTCAGAGGATGTTTTTTTTACATGCAAGATATCTTCTCACCCCAAGTACAGTACTGTGGGAGGTGGTGATGATGTTTTTGATGGTCCTGTCAGTTTCTAATGAGTAACTATTTTAACTATGTAACTATCCAGCCTTCATCGTTATGTACCTGAAGGCAGAAGAGCCTCACGTGAATCATGAACAAAATGTATGCCGTGTTGAGCCAATAGCGTCATTTTCTTCCACAGACTATGTGCTGTACAACCTATTCTCTTATGAACTCCATGCAACTCAGTTCATGTCTCAACGAATTACTCTGGAAAAATTGTTCTTTCCAGAATCTCCTTCAGAATGAGCAATAAATCAAATCTCCTGCATCTGTTTTGTACAGCTTTAACGTAGTTGATTTCCTTAGCTTGATTCTCAAATGGTCCCAGAATCAAGGGAACCCTTATATTCTCAAACCTATTTGACAATCTTGATAGTGTGAGAAGCCAGCCTTTTGCTTTTCCCCCTATTATAGTCCTTCATGGGTGGTCCATCTTGTGTTCTATGGGAGGACAGAACTTTTATTTACTCCTTTCTCTTCTGAGATTAATTCTCAGCCACTGTCAGTTCCAAAAGAGTGGCAGAAGGCCAAGAGAACAAGGGAAGGCAAGTTTGAATTCCGTGCAACTTCAAAATCCTTGCTGGCCAAAGCTTAGTTTCATGAGGTCAAGACATGGACTCAGTTGGGATAAAAGGTGGTCTATCCAGTCTCACATTCATTCTTGAAATTATTCCACCTTACCATTTGGAATTGTGCTTCAAACTCGCTCTTAATTTGCTTTTTTTTGTACAGAATAGAACTTAAATTCAGAGAAATTTGAATGCAACATAAAATAAAATAAAATAAAATAATTTAATAAAACCAAGATTCTGGAGGTCTGCAACAAACAAAAACAGAAATTGCTGGAGAAACTTAGCAGTACTGACAAGCTCTGTGGAGAGAAAGCAGAGTTAATATTTTGAACCACTTATTCTTACAAAGTGACAACCATTAACACTGTTTACACAGGCAAAATAATTTAAGGCTTCCTCAGGAACCAAAAGGAGGAAAAATATAAATGGTGCAAACCTGACGAGAGGGAAGCTACTCTTGTATGTTTGCAGAATCAATGCAATTGTAATATTTAACTGCCATATATGTATATATATATAATATATAGATCTAAACAGTCTGCAAGGATGTCTAAGAGTTCAGCACGTTCGTAAGACCCATTTGTGTTGTGCAGTTCACAAAAGCTAATGCAACACATGTCAAGTGGCAGTCTATAGTAGCAACTTTTCCATTAACCTTTTGCCATTATTAAAAATGGAGCCTCATCATTAGGACAATCTTGTTTTAAAACCAACTTGAAAGAGAACACAGGACTCCAGAACTCGAAACTGACTGTACTTTACATTTAGTTGCAAGTAGCATTAATCCAAGTTAAAGTATTGCAGTGACAATGGAAAATTCCTCAACTGTTTTATTAAAAATGCTTTATTCGAACTGCTGGGTAACTTCTGAATTTTGAGTCAAGCCAAAAACTATTTGGAATTACCTGGAACTTGTATGTGCTAGGCAGGCTATATGGGGCAAGATTGGTTCACATTTCTAATGATGTGGAGGTGCTGGTGTTAGACAGGGTCAAAAATCACGTGACACCAGGTTATAGTCACATTTCTGATGAGAACGACTTGAAATATTAATCTATCTTTAAATAAAGCAGATGATTAACAACTGAATTGAAGACTTAGGATCCAATTTAAGATTTTATTTCTGCTGATAAAACCCTTACAAACTTCTTGTTATTTCAGCAGTATGTGTTGTTGATGCTATGGCTAAGTAATTTAGATGTGTTACTGCAGCCGATGCTGTCAAAGAATGGATAGGGCTCGCTCATCTTTCGTGACTTCAAGTCTTGCTAACTGTCCTTACACTCCTTAAGAAACAAAATTCTGGTTTTGCTCCTGATCACTCTGGATCTACAATGGAATCCTGAGGCAAGAAAGTGAATAGAGTTAGTGTTAAGCCCCTGGCAAGTCGACACCTTTAGGAGAAAAGGGAAGAAAAATGGAGAATTAAAGAAAATGCAGAAAAATCTGTGAGCCACATCACACCTCTGCTGGTTGAGTTGAGGACAGTGCGATAGTCCCATTGCTCACATTTGAACAGAACTCTCTCCCTTGAACAACTACAGAGAAGGCTGGTCTAATGTCCACTGGAATTTAGAAGAGCAAGAATGATTTGTAATAAGATGTTGAAAGATCTTGGAAAGGTGGACACAGAAGGAATGTTTGCTCTTGTGAGTGTGTCCAGAACTAGGGGACACTGTTTTAACATTAGAGGTCACTCCATTGGGCCAGAGATAAGGGTTTTTTTCTCTCAAAGGATAGACCTGACTTTGTAACTCTGTGCCTCAGAAGTTAGTGACAGCAGGGTCATTGAATTTTTTTTAGGCGGAGGTATATATATTCTTGTTAAGTAGGTAAGTCATGGATAGATGGGAATGTGGAATTTGGAACACAAACCAATCAACTATGTTCTAATTGAATGGCAGAGCAGGCTTGAAGAGTGAATGACCTGCTTCTGCTCCTACGTCATATGTTCCCAGAAGTTCAGATGTTAGGAGTGAGATTCAGAATGGCAAATAGTGCAATAATCAAAAACCTCTTCAAACTACACGTACACTTTTTGTTTGGGAGATTCTGCTCTTGGCGTGGGGCCATGATCAGGAATGGAGAATGATAAATTTGACTCTTCATCTTGGACAAGCTTTAGCCTGAAGTTGACACTTTCTGGAAAAATATCCATGTGGTTTTTGACCTGGAATAAGATGTGACATCATCAAGACAAAAACATGTGATGATAGAAAGTTGAGAAATGTGAGAAACTCCTTGACTGAAGTTGTAGTTGTAAGACATTGGACTTATATAAGACGTAGCTCTATACTGTGATAAGATAAAGCCAGTAATCCGGAAATATTAGATCAAATGGGCTGAAGTTCCTTCTACATCTGAACCTGTTCTAATCAGTTGATAATTGTATTCACTGTGCTACAAAAGATATTATTAGTTTTACATGTTCTGCTGATCATTAGTTAGACATTCATTTTAAAGAAATGGTTAGGTTTTGTACCTTTGTTGGAAAAATGTTTGACCTCCATGCTATTATGTTAAAATCCCAATTATTCAACGACCTCTAGATTTCCTGCTCTTAATTGATATTCATGGC